GGCCCATCATAGCTAGTGTGAGATTTGGAATATAGCTTTTGTTGCCAAGGTGACAAACACTTATAAATATAACACATCTTCTAATGTGCTTTTAACTTGGTATTTTTATGGCTTTTAAATCAGATACCATTAGCAAATATATTAGGTAATTTAGCTGAAAGACCATTTTCCTCTAACACTTTTTGTTACATTTCCCCAGGTATTTCAGTAAATGTCTGTTGTGACATCTTACTCCTGCCAAGCTTCCAACGTAACGGGATACATAAAGTACAGCTGGTAAAGATTAACATATATTACCTTGCTTTTTGTATCGATCACTGAAAAATGTACAGAAGAGAGTTAAATTTGTAGTCTCCTTGAAGAGCAATCATTGTTCCTATTGTTATTTTGGGGTTTATGCCTCCTCCCCCCAAATAACAGTCTGGCGTGAAAATTCAATACGTGAGGAAAAGGTTTTTGGGACAGCGTAATAACTATATATTAACACTTCCCCCAACCTCCACACCTAACTGCTTTCCTTTAAATATCAAAAAGAGAAGGCTAGGAAGAAAATAATTACAATAGACCATTTAGAGCACTAGTATTTCCACAAGTCTAAGTTTATTGTTCCAAACAATAAGCCCAACAGCCCAGGCAGGGAAAGAATTAGCTCTAAATGTATTCAGTGAATTCTTACAAGAAAGCTTGAGGTGGACATGTTTGTCATAGCAAAGATAAAAATCAGATGAGACATACTTAAAGTCTAAATTTGCACTTACTATTACTTTATCATAAATTCTTCTTAAAAGATGATTCATTCATTCATTCATTCATTCATCCCTTTGCCTCTCATTCATTCAGCCCATAGTCATTTAAGAAGTACCAACTGGCATGGCAGATACCAAGCAGAATAAGTCCTGGGCCTCGAGAAGAACATATTAGAAAAGATTCAGGACTTTAAATGCAATATACAACACAATGACGAAGTGCTGAGCAAGGACTCCACCCAAAGTTCAGAAGAGAGGTCCCAAAAGAAAGACAGTCTTGACGACTGTTTGCAGAGAATCGAGATAAGGATGGGGAACATGTACTTTATTTTAATAGTAAAACTCTAGAGAGGCCATGTTTTATATAGTAAATCTAGAATTGCTATTTCCTTACCGTGTGATTTTGGAAGCCTCTCTGTTGCCCTCTCTTGTAATTAATTATCCTTGCCTCCACATGGAGGGCTGGGGACAGGGATGATGGCATATGGAAAGTATAGATAATTGAATTCTTTGAAAAAGAAAGATGCTATGAAAACATCCAGCATCCTTATTATTCCAAGCAGTAGCGTTTTAGATAATTACCATATAATGCTGCACCTTTGTGAGTGTGCAGTTTGCTTCTTCGTAGACAGACAAGCGCTAATGTTGATTTTTCTCTAATGACTTTGGAAGTAATTTTTATCCTACACACAAAACATAATCATCTTTAGACTGTATTTGAGTAGATTTTGTTATTTACCAAGGTCTTAGGCAATTTCACCACAATTATGAAAAATGGTGCCCAACCAGCTCTACTCTCTCACTAAGGATCTGGGAAACAGTTTTGTAGACAGGGCAACAACTTCTGCAAAACCAACATCACTTGGTGTGTGTGTGTGTGTCTGTCTGTCTGCATATATGATTGTGAGTGTACGCGTGTGTTTGTGTGTATGTGTCTGTATCTGTGTGTGTGTCTCTCTCTCTGTGTATGTGTTTGTGAGCATATGTGTGTGTGCTTATGTGTGTATGTGTCTGTCTCTTTCTCTCTCTCTCTCTCTGTATCTATATCTGTATGTCTCTGTGTGTATGTGTTTGTGAGTGTATGTGTGTTTGTGTGTATGTGTCTGTCTGTCTGCCTCTCTCTTTCTGTGTGTGTGTCTGTATCTGTGTGTTTCTGTGTGTGTGTATGTGTATGTTTGTGTGTGTGTGTGTGTTTATGTGTGTGTGTCTGTCTCTCTCTCTTCTCTGTGTGTGTGTTTGTGAGTGTGTGTGTATTTTGTGTGTGTGTGTGTGTGTGTTTATGTGTGTATGTGTCTATCTCTTCTCTGTGTGAGTGTGTGTGAGTGTGTGTGAGTGTGTGTGTGTGTGTGTGTGTGTGTGTGTGTGTGTGTGTGTGTGTGTGTGATGGAGTCTGGAGCTTGCAGACAAGAGCTGGGAATGAGCTGAGACTGGCTAGCATACCTGAGGCAGCTGTTACACTGTGGCGCCGGGATTCTTTTCAGCCTCCTGGCTGGCTCCCCTGCTCCTCCTCCTCCTCCTCCTTCTCCTCCTCCTCCTCCTTTTCTTAGTCTCTCTCTAACCCTCTCTGTCTTTCTTCCTCCTCCTGAGGCCCTGGTAATTCCCATGGCTTGCAATTCTGGCCTAACTTTGCTACCAGACATTCCAGGGCTGTCTGGCTGAGGAGAGGCTGGTCAGGCCATGAAGTCAGAGAGAAAACCGACCCTCAGAACACTTATCTGTTCCATCTTTCCTTTCTCCCATTCATTTTTTCTTATTCTGACTTTTCTTGCTGGAGATTAGCCATGCATTGTCATGGCAACCGGGGAAAGTGACAGTCTGAGGAAGACTGGCTCTTAGGTCCTGAAACTTGCCTCAGGCTTTGTCAACAAGACATTGTCTATCAACTTGCCCCCGGATTTGCCAAAGTGCCAGGCATTCCCTATTAAAGAGAGGCCTGTTGAAGGAGCCTGTGGGAATCCCTCCTTTCCTCTTGGAGAGGGGGCTTCTCACAGGGCCCCTTCAGGATTTGCTGCAAGCAGAGAGGTCAAACAGTGTGCAGCTCCAAGGATTTAAGACAATAAAGAAACTTTTTTTCTGTTTTTTTCCCCCAGTTTATTCTGGCTTCTTATGGTTTAAGGTAATTTCTCAAAGGCTGTCACTGGGATTGGATAGATTCAGTGTAGTCAACCAGGATGAAATAAAAAAAAAAAAAATATGTCAGTACCAAGCAAGCATGGGAAAAATCAAAGACCCCAGACCCTGGAGGCCCCAGCAGCCTTGACAAGGCAGACAGTATACATCCCCAGTGAAAAAACCAGTGCCATTTGTCCCGAGAGACAGTCTCTGGTTACATTTCTTAGACTCGGGCCCACTGACAGAAGAGAGCAATTACTTATGGTCATATTTTTTTTAATTTGACAAAGATCCCAATCATGGTGGATTAGGTACATTTAATATCTCAATTAATAAGCCTTCTACAATAGTAACATGTCAACTTTGGTTCCCGAAATCCACTCCAGTTGATAGTCATCCAGGAAACGTCTTTCATGCCTCCATATTAAATTTAATCTGCCCCCTGCTTTATAAGACTTTGTATTCCTGTGCTAGAGAAAAGATGCTTATTTTATCATTCCAGTTTAACAGCTTGCTTAGCAAAGTTGATGGGTAGGAGTTTAGGAAATATTCAGTGAATACCTACTTTGTATGTTTACAAAAGAAGTAGCTGGAAGATAGTTACCCAGCAGCATTTTTTTTTGGTCCCACTGTTATCCTACTGGTTTTCCATTCCTTCAGCAGATTTATCTGTCATGAAGAATTTAAGTTTCATATTTTCTTCTGTCAGTTGTGAAAAGGTCTGTCAGCTGGGGCTTACACCACCGTTTGCCAAAAGGCCTATAGCACACAATGACAATACAATCTTATATTTGTGCTCCCGGTCTCAAGCTAATCCCCCACTTTCTTCCTCTGCAGCCCAGTTATGATCAGGCTTAAGTTGCATATTCTGCTTTTAGCCAGATTTTGCTGATAAATGCTATCAGCAAGACTAAAATGAAATACATCAGGGCTAGCTCTTATTACCTATGCAGACTATGTCTTGACCAGTCTGTGCGTGATACAGGGGCATTATTTGTACAAAACTATTTAATTCACAGAAACAAAGCAAAACAAAAATAAAGGGAATGTTAATGATGTTGCCTTTATCTGTATTTGCTCAATGCTCTAAGATCCTTTTATTCAAAAACATGGAAATACAGATCTCTTCTTCATATACCTTAGATTAACGTTCTATGGAGATGTGCCTGCGAAACCAAGTTGGATTATTTCTGGTAAGGATGTAATTTTAAGAAAAAAATGTAGTCTTACCATTATTTATCAATATCTTCACATGTAAGACACTTTGTTCCTGACATTAACAAGTAACTAAAATGATTTACATTTCCCCCTCCACATGCAGCAGCTACTACATTTCCTTAAATGGAAATTGTGAACTACGAGGAGGCTACAAACCATTCTTTTTATAACACACTGGGTTCGATGTTAGAAAGATGCACCCTTGCCTCCGCCAAGGAGAGGAAGGGGTTAGCATCGCCCTGGAACTCGGGAGTGGAACAAAAGCTGGCAGCCTGACACCAAAATAACATCCCAATGAAAAGCAAAATTGCTTCTACGGCGAAATTGCCTCATTTGAAAATTGTAGTGATACTGAGAACAATTATGTCACTTAAACTTTCACAATTTTGTTTTTATCAATCAATTATAAGGCTATCATGTGGTTTAAATGCAATTATTTAATAAGGGCATTTGTAACAGTCCAACATAATCAGTTACACTTCGGGCAAGCGCTTCTCCGAGGCTGTGTTTTTGTTAGTGTCTAAGACTTTCTTGTGGTAATAAATACTTTTTGAAAAAGCCAAATAGAATTGTTGTTTTTCAGAAAAGTTCCGTCCCCATTCCATAGTAAACCATTTTCCCTTGTTGCAAATTGAATTTCAGAATCTGCTCCCTGTGTCCTCTAGGACAGGTCCCACCCCCACCCATCCACTCCCACCCCCCCATCTACTCCCACCCATCTCCCCCCACTCATCCACTCCTACTCCACTCCTATCTACCCACCCCCACCCACCCCCACCCATCCACCCACTCCACCTCTACCCACTCCCACTCTACCCCTATCCACTCCCACTCCACCCCCACCCATCCTCTCCCACTCCACCCCTACCCACCCCCACTCCACCTCTACCCACCCTCACCCACCCCCACCTTAGAAACTGAACATACAACTAAAACCTTGTGAAGAGGGACACACATTGCTAACTGGTGGGGCAGTGAAGGCTGGTTCTTTAGGATCCATGGTAGTGTTCAGTGTGTTTTGAGCCAAGACAGCCATGAAGTCCAGGGAGTAGGTGGCAGTCCGAGTTGAGTTACCGAGTGAACTACTAAATGATGGTACCATAGGTAACAGATCATGACTTTGATTTTCTAAGGAAGGGAATTGCTTATGGGCTGTGTCTAAAGATGCTTAGATCTGGAGACCACATAATTTTAGCGGCTGGATGGGTTGTCCATTTCATGGACTGTTTGGTCCATTTGGACAGCCTAAGAGCTACATTTTCCCTCCAAATTTCAACTGATGTTTCTACTAATACTTTATCCTTGTGTTGCCCTTGTCCATCCTGATTTCTGTACTCACTGGACCAGGAGACTTCTAGGATCCCATCCTTCCTTTATTCCCATCTCTTTCTTTTCCATGGACACGCCTTTCCTTATTACCACCCTTCTTGTCTGTTTGCCTTCTTCTCTGAGAACTTTCAGCTCTCTGGGGATACTATCCACCTTTGAACTTTCTCTGCTATGCATTCTGCTGTAAAAGCACAAGCTCTAACTTCCAAGCATTTCCTCTGCTCAGTCATCTAGAAAAGGAGGGAGTCCTGCCAGTGACTGCAAGGTATTTAGCATTAGCCTGTGGGCTTAGCTAAACTGATATAAAGGTTCCATCAAAGACTACTATACAGGACCCGGTGAACTTGTGGTTTGGAAACTCAAATATAGTGTTAGTCCTTTGTATTAAAAAATACCATATTTCTGCCTTGCTTTACACTAATTCCACTACTTTAGAGCAGAAGTCAAATGTCTTCTGTGACTTCAGCCATCTTCTTGGCTTCTCTCATCTATTCTTATATTTCCCTAAGCTTGTCCCAGACACAGAGGCCGTCTTTCTTCATTGTCCACTTTCTCTGTCCTAGACCTGTGGATCTGAAGTTCCTCTGCTTCTGCCATTTTCTCACCGTTCACCCAGCTCAAACCTCAAATCCTTCACCAGGATGATTGACTCACTCCTCTTCCCTCTTTTAGACCTACCATTAGAAAAATGATCACTGATGCCCTAAGCCAAGTGGATTCTTACACAGTGACACCACTTTTCTTCAATTCATTCATTACGCTTGCAATGTATGTTTCTTTGCGTTATGATTTGACTGCTGTCCTACTCCAGCAGCTCCTCCTAGAGAACAGATTGTTTCCTGTTTTTTTTTCTGTACTCAGCAAACATTTAAATTATTTCTATTGAATGAAGAAACTTTGGATTTCATAGAAATTCTTTTTTGAATAAATAAATAAAGCAGATTTCTAAAACAGAAATCAAATGATAAGGTTTTAAGAGACCCACATATGTTCATAGAGAAATGTTGGAGTGACAAATTAAAGACAGGTTGTTAACAAAAGAACAGATTAAATAACTCATGCCCCATTCATAAAAGATAATGTGTGCTGCAGTTAAAATTAATGAATTAGTGCCACATGTGTCCAGCTGGCTCAATTTTCAAAGCACATACATGAAGAAAGTGTTCACAATAAAAAATATGCGCTGTTTTATTCTGCATCAAGCCCATGGAAGAAGCAGTTAGAAGCAAGAACAACAGCAGCACAGATATGACGAAGGATACAGTTTGGGATGGGTGGGGTCTCCAAAGTTCTTCCCTCCTTTCCAGACCATTCTTCAGACAGGTTCCAGAGGAGCGCAAGGAAGCCCCACTGTTACTCTCTCTTTTCCCACGTCTCTCCATCTGTGTTCACTGTCTGAGGATGCTCTTAGGTGCTGTTGGGAACAACTATATAAATCAAGGGTAAGTTGAGAGAAACACTTCTAAGTAGAGAAAGTAAAAGGATCTAGAGAATTACAGCAGTAAAGAAGAAAATCTACAATATACAAAAATACTGAATTTAGTTCCTCTATTGAAATAGTCTATGTAATTAAGTTTCAACGAAAAATGAAACAAACCAACAAATCTAACTAGATTTGGATGATCTCAGGGCCCAAGAAGAAAGCTACAACATAAATGATAGGAATTTTTCTAGGTTCAGTCAACTCTAGACAAACAGCCATTGGAGGTTGAAGTATCTAATGTTAGCTTTACTCACAGTGTGAGCTGCCTCTGTGTTGAGGGGACTGCTGAGTCTTCCCCCAAATATTTCCCTTATTTTGTTACAGTGCCTTTGCATCTACTTTCAATATTAACTTTAGGACAATGCATTTAAGGACACTCCTAAAACTACAGGCTTAGAATGGCAGAACGGCTTTGTTATTTTAGATTAGATGAGGGAACTAATGTTTGGAAAGTCAAGGCCAGTTTCTAGGACCACCCAGCTGAAGCACACTAAAACAGCCTCACCTAACCTGTTGTTTTTTCAAGCATGCCATGCCATAGTGTTGTGCCTGGGGACCATCCTAGAAAATCTCTATCTGCTCGTTGTGTACAGTTTTGTTTGTCTATTTGGTTTAGCTAGGCCGTCACTCAGCTGGTACAAAGGCATAAAAACAAAAGAAATCAGAGGGAAAGTGGTATATGCATGTCATGGAACATTATTCAGCCTTCAGAAGGAATGCAGTTCTGACACAAGACATAACATGACTGAACCTTGATGACATCATACTAAGCCCTATGGGACGGTCTTGTGTGTCTACTTTATAAGATATTTAGAATAATCAAATTCATAAAGACAGGAAACAGAATGGCAGTAGAAAGAAGCTGGAGGGAGGATGCATGGTTAGAGTCTAAAGCACACAGAATTTGGGGTTGGAAGATGACAAAATTCTGGAGATGGAAGGGGGTGAAGGTTGCACAGCAGTGGAGATGTATTGAATACCACTACACACACATTTAAAATAGTAATAGTTCAAATTGTTAGCTTTATGTTACAGATAATGCACCAAAAATTTAAAAAAATAATAAGAAAAAATCACGTGGCGATTTTGTGAATCTGGAAGATACTATGAAAGTATTGGATCCTTGAGGCCCATGGTGAGAAAGTGAAAAAGAAAAAGATAATGATCTATTGTCTAATTGTCCCTTATTCACAGGGGATATTTCCAAAAGCCCCCAGTCAATGCTTGAAATTGAGATCTTCTTGAATCCCTATACAAGCATTATAAGACTCCAACAGAGGGTCTGTGAAGATGGCCACTGGGGGACTAATAGATGGGTAGCTATACAGTTTGGACACATTAGACAATGGATGACTGATGTCCTAGTGTGATAGTTTGAATGTAATTAGCCCCCATAATCTGATAGGGAATGGCGCTATTAGGAGGTGTGGCTTGTTGGTGTGGGTGTGGCCTTGTTGGAGGAAGTGTGCCACTGTGGGGGTAGCTCAGGACACCGCCCAGTATCTAAGTTGACTTCCTGTTGCCTGTAAGATGTAGCACTCCCAGGTCCAGCACTACATCTGCCCGCAAACCACCATGCTCCCTGTCATGATGACAGTGGACTGAACTTCTGAAACTGTAAGTGAGCCACCCCAATTAAATGTTTACTTTATAAGAGTTGCTTTGGTCATGGTGTCTCTTCACAGCGATAGAAACCCTAAGACACCTAGACAGGACGGATCTAGATAGTAAGAAATCTCATTACACCTTAAAAACAATGCATAATTTAAACTGATGAATTGTTTCTGGGATTTCCTACATAACATTTTTGGGGTATAGTTGACCAGGAGGATAACTGAAACTATAAAAAGCAAAACTACCATGAAGAGAAGACAACTGTATTTTAACAAATGAGTGCCCTGATGGGCCCTAAAGTGACCAGTGTGGCTAAATCCCCCAAACACAGTAGTAGTGAGCAAAATGTAAACTTCTGTTGTGGCATGATACAGGCAAGGGTGGCATTATCATATTTTTAAAATCTTTTTTAAAAAAACTGTGAAGTTATTGGTTATGGAGATACCTGCATATAGTAAATGTAAGAACACATAGTTTCTGGAAACTCACCACAGTCCACGTAGCAGATGTCTTTGGCAAGAGAAGAAATGAGAGACACACAGAAGCCTTCAATATATCTGAAACCTTCTGCTTTTTGGATTAAAAGAAATTTGGCCAACCTGAAGAGTAGGTCCATTGACATCATTAAATTATTAATTATACTTTTTTGGTATAACAATGAACTCAAAACAGTTCATTGTTAAAGAATGAATATTTAATATCGATGATGTTATAGAATGCTTAGATTAGAACTGTATAATCAACACAATTTTTAAAATGATGATTGATCATTAAGACCATTAAAATGTAAGATGTATGTCAAGTGGGAAAGCAATCACCCAGGAAAGTGGAAGCAGCACCATCTCAGAGTCAGTCAGCTGATGTCAAGGAAGAGCTCACTAGCTACTAACACTCGAGTTCTTTCTCTGAGGAGAAAACAATACAAAGATAGTTTGAGGTACAGATGTGTTTGATGTCTTCAACTGATGGCAAGATTTTGCCTCATTGGACCCTGGAGTTGTTGGGGTCAGAGGAAGGGGCTGAGGAAAGTGGACAAAACAGACTGGGATTGACTTGGGTGAACTGCAAATTGAAGCCGGAGTGGCAGGTGCATGTGGGTGTGTGTGTGTGTGTGTGTGTGTGTGTGTGTGTGTGTGTGTGTGTGTGTGTGTGTGTGTGTGAGAGAGAGAGAGAGAGAGAGAGAGAGAGAGAGAGAGACAGAGAGACAGAGAGAGAGAGAGAGAGAGAGAGAGAGAGAGGCTGAAGGCATGAAGGGGTTGAAGTGAAACACAAAGAAACTTCAGCTGATGAAACCCTCTAGGAAGCTCACAGAATTGCTGAAGTTGGAGGCCATAAAAGCTGATGGTGGTAGCAGTGGAGATGTGGGAGAAAGGGAGTTATGGTTGCCGCGGGGAGACTCTATAGGACTTGGTTCTTTCAGTAAGTGAAGGAGTAAAGTAAAGCAGAGAAGCAAAAATAGCTTTCTTTCTGTCTGTGAACATCCACTGCTGAGGATGACATTGACCTAGAAAGGGTAACAACAGGGGGGAAAGAAGCCAGTTGCTCACCCCTCAACCTTGAGCGTATGGAAGAGGAGAGAGACAAACGATTTTGATTTGGAATGTGCCGAATTAGAAGTCTCTTCAGGTAGGAGTGCCCAGAAGAGAGGTGTGGGATTGGAGCCACATAAAGATAATAACTGGAGTGGATGACATGGTGTGCAAAGTAGGAAAAGAAGATGTTGCTACAAAACGGAAGAGTTAGATCATCACGCTGAGCTGTTCCTCCCCGAGGCTGGTAAGGCATTGGCAGGAGAATCTGAACACTCACATTCAGCAGCAATAACTGGGACTGAACAATGGGAGCCTGCCCCAGGGCTTGGCATGCAGACTTAGTGAACTAGAGCAGCAATGAAAGCAGCATCTTTGTAGGGAAACAAACCTTCATTCAGCGCGTTTGCCGGCAAAGCCTCACTCTCCACTTACTAGGTGTAAACGTGGGCAAGTCTCCAAGCTTCTCTGACCCTCAGTTTCTCCCCCCTGAAAACGGGATAAAACCAGGCCTTCAGGTCTGTGGTAAGGCCAAAGTATAATGTATGTTGGTAAGTGTTCAGCATGTATTAAGGACTTAGTAACAATTAGTCCTTTCTTCTTTCTAAGCTTTTAACTTTGCTAAGAACCAGATTTGCCAGAGATCATGTAAGTAAATTGCTTTCCTTCGAAATATGCAAAATACTTTTAACCATGCAAGTTCTAAGTTCCTTGAAAGCAGATGCCATTTCTTATGCATTAATCAGTCAGATCTACATTGGATACTTACTATTTTCCCAACAAGCTACGGTTTACAAATAACATGCAGTATGATGATAGGTGCCTGGTAGTTTCGAACAAACAAATGCTTCTTGGATTGAAGTGTGTTGTAGCACAACCAAACAAAACAAGCACTGAAGTTTCACAGTTTATGTTGATATGCAATCACTTGGCAACAGCCTTGTAAAGCCTATTAATATCCATAGGCATATTATTCTATAAAGAAAGGGAAAGAGAGGTTAAGTTAGCTCTTTAAGTTCACAGAAAAAAAAAATACTTCAGGGCTAGAAATAGACAGCAGTTAAGCTAAGTCAGGCTACACAGGGAAAGCTCCCAGTAGCATTTCAGTGATGGGCCCACTGAGGCATGAAAACACCATCCCTTAGGATTTCAAATGCAAAAGGACAAACACAAAAATAGCAGAGTGCCTTTCATGTCACTGGTCCCAGACTCTCTATTCAGATTCTAGGCAGCAACCAGAATGGTGGGTCTCTGATCAGAAGGGAAGTAGGTTTGGCTTGGTGGAAGCCTGAGTTCAAGGGAATGGACTACACAAACCATGACAGGGAGCCTCGTTTTTACAAGTGTGCAGAAAAATAAGTTAAGCGTAGTTACTCAGTAGGAATGGGCACCTGATTTGTGTTTTATCTTTGGTGATTCTTTCCCCCCCTTAAATTGATTGTGGGAATTGGAGGTCAAGCCAAAGTCTCAGCAGTACTAAGACATTCAACTTTGGGATTTAATACATTTTGCTAATAAGCATAAGAAGTAAAGCTATTTTGTTGGTGAAAAGCATGGGTATCATGATCCCTAGTTGTGATGGAGGAGGGATGTGAAGATGGTAAAGCAGAAAAAAATGGGCAGGCAGAGTAGTAGGGCCAATCCAAGGTCAAGATAGATAGCTATGTTATGTCCCAGCCAAAGCTGTAGGAAGAATAAAGCTGGAAATTTCTTCTTATGGGGCCTGTGGTGGTTTAAAAGAAAATGGCCCCCAAAGGGAGTGGTACTATTAGGAGGTGTGGACTTGTTGGAGTTAGTGTGGTCTTGTTGGAGGAAGTGTATCACCATGGAGGCAGGTTTTGAGGCCTCATATGTGCTCAAGTCACCTCCAGTGAGACAGATCACTTCCTGTTGACTTCAAGTCAGTATGTAAGAACTCTCAGCTCCTTCTCCAGCACCATGTCTGCCTTGATTCCCACCATGATGATAATGGACTAAACCTCTGAATTAAGCGAGCCGCCGCCCCAATTAGATGTTTTCTTTTATAAGACTTGCCAAGGTCATGGTGTTTCTTCATAGCAATAGAAACCCTAACTAAGGCAGGGCCTTGTGGTGGTTTGAAAGAAAATGGCCCCCAAATGGAGTGGTATTGTTGGTTATTTTTTCTACTCTTTTTCTCTTTGATCTTTGGTCTTATGTGGGCCCACCACCTAGCTCCCAAATAAATCACACATGGAGACTTATTATTTCTTATGAGTGCCTGACCTTAGCTTGGCTTGTTGCTAGCCAGCTTTTCTTAACTTAAATTATCACATCTACCTCTTGCCTCTGGACTTTTACATTTCTCTTATTTCTGCATATTTTACTCTCACTTTTACTCTATGGCTGGCTGTGTGGCTGAGTGGCTGGCCCCTGGCATCCTCCTATCCTTCTTCTCTTGCTCCTTCTTCTTTTCTTTCCAGATTTCTCCTTCTATTTATTCTCTCTGCCTGCCAACCCTCCTATCCTTTCTCTTGCCTTGCTATTGGCCATACAGCTCTTTATTAGATCATCAGGTATTTTAGATAGGCAAAGTAACACAGCTTCACAGAGTTAAACAAATGCAACATAAAGGAATGCTACACATCTTTGCATCATTAAATGAATAATCCACAGCATAAACAAATATAACACATCTTAAAATATTATTCTACAACAGAGTGGCACTATTAGGAGGTGTGGCCTTGTTGAGGAAGTGTGTCACTGAGGGCTTTGAGGTCTCTTTTGCTCAAGTTTCCCTCAGTGTGACAGTCAATCAACTTCCTGTTGCCTCTGAGTCAAGATGTAGCACTTTCAGCTCCAGCACCACATCTACCTGGATGCTGCCATGCTCCCCATCATGATGATAATGGACTGAACCTCAGAAACTGTAAGTGAGCCCCCTCAATTAAATGTTTTCATTTATAAAAGTTGTAGTGGTCATGCTCTCTCTTCACAGCAATAAAAACTTAACTAAGACCAGCCCCGTCCCTAGACAGAACTAAAGGCAACTAAGGAGTGCTAAGAACAGAAATAGTCTTCCCCAGGGAAGAGCCCTCCAATTGGTCATAAAAACAAACAAAATCAAAACCAAAACCAAGTGGTCAGTCCTGAGATCATATATGTACACAAATGTTATGAGATAAGCAGGTTGTATTTATATTCAGAAATGTGTGTGTGTGTGTGTGTGTGTGTGTGTGTGTGAGAGAGAGAGAGAGAGAGAGAGAGAGAGAGAGAGAAACTAATTTAATTTCACAAAATGAAAAAAAATACTTTAAAAAGAGTAAGTTTTTAAAGTTGGAGATTTCTGGTTTGAGGAGATAGCTTAGCACTAAGAACACTTGCTATTCAAGCATGACCTATGCTCAGATCTTCAGCACTCAAGGAAGAAGCTGGACGTGGCTGCATGCCTGAAACTCCAGTGCTCTGGAGTGCTTTCATGGCCATCAGCCTCGTTCCAGATTCAGGAAGATGCCCTGTCTGGAAGGCATGAGGCGGAGAGTGATAGAGCAAGCCACCGGCCATGCTTGTGTCACCACGCCTGGCTGTTTCCAGTGTGGCTTTGAACTCACAGAGATCTGGATGGAGCTCTGCCTCTAGAGCGCTAGGATTAAAGGTGTGTGTGCCACCATTTTCTGGCCTCTATATCTAGTGGCTGTTCTGTTCTCTGACCCCAGATAAGCTTATTAGGGTGCACAATATATTAGGGAACACAATATCACCACACAGAAGTGCAGCTCACATAAAGATATTGCCAGAGCTGGAATCGTGCATCAGCCAGGCAAAGAGCAGCAAGAATTGTTAGCAAATACCAAGATCTAGAGAGAAGCAAAGAAAGACCTTCCCCCAACCTTCTGAAGAAGCTCTGCCGTTTGAGGATCTTGCCATTGCACCTCTACACTACAGAAGGACCAGAAAACAAGCTCTGTTGCTTAGGTTCTAGGCCAACAGGATTGCAGTACTTTGTTAGGGCAGCTCCTGGAACAGCTGTCTGCAGATGACTTTCAACTGTGTAGTTACCGTGTTTCTGTGACTAGTGAGCTGCTGGCTTTGGCAGTCTGTGTCCCTTGTACTACACCCCCCTTAGGTCCCATCCTTTTACAGTGCCAGGAAGAACTTCACTAATCCCCTATCAAGGCAAAGTCTGGTAGGAAGATGGGCCGTGGGGGACCACTATAGAACAGAGCCAGAGCTTGACCGTCTTATCTGCATTCTGAGGGTTAAGATTTCCTCTTTCAGTACCAGCAGATGACAAATTCCTGTACTTCACCTTCTTCCACATCTCACCAGTATACAAGGAAGTTATGAGCCTTGGCTAATTAGGAGTGTAACTGTTGAGATAAACAGCAGAACTCAGAGTCAGGCGCAGCCAGACCAGATGAGTGTCTGCATTTCGTCACTAGGACATCCAGGTCTTTCTTTCCTGAAGAAGGGGAACAGGCCAAGTTCTAGGATTAAAAAAAAAAAAATCTCCTCAGTATGCAGCCAAGTTGAAAACTTCTATTAGGTAATAACCTAGGTAATATGGAGTCTTTGAGGGATTCTTCCAGTTTCTGACTAGATCATGAGGGCAAGAACTTGGAATGAGGTAATTAATTGTGCCTGGCTTCTGACATTCAGGCCTCTCTGAAAGCTACTCTGTTTTAGAAATAGTATATCCACCTTTGCTCCAAAGTCAAGGGCAATTTTACATCCAATCACTTACCAACTTACCCTGACTCTTTCTTTAAATGCATCCCAAGCGTACCCTATTTTTTAATTCATTTGGCCATTGTACTAGCTCAGGTTCACCACGTCTGCCTGGATTTGTACATGGCATCCTGACCAGGAACATGGCATCCTGACCAGGCCTCCTACCTCCAGTCTCCTATATTCCCTGTTCATTCCACATTGTCTACTACCATGTTCATTTAAAAACACAAATGTTGTCATTTCCTGGTGGTGAGAACCTGGTAGCCAACGTCCTGCAGATCAACTTGCCTAAGTTCTATTGTGGCTATTGGGATATATATCTTACCCACAATTCTCCATCTGTCAGAAAGACACACTACACTGATAGGAAACCCAAAGAGACTGTGAAAGACCCCTACTAGAAATCCTCGGGAGAGCAGGCCCAGAGCCTGGTCGATAACACAACTGCTGCATTTCAACAAAGAAAGAGGCCTACAGCTCCATTCTCTGCTCCTCCTCCTCCTGCAGAGGCCATGATCCAGCCTCCCCAACTCTTCCGGGTCCTCCTTTTCCTGCTGTGGTGCCTGCATCCAACATGAGAGGTCTTCCCTTGATGCCAGTGATGGGCCCTCCTCCTGAGATGATGCCTGTGCGTCATCATCTAACTGCTCCTGCAATGAGGCCATCTGTGGGAGGCCACATGTCCATGGCGCCTGGGCCTCCCACTTGCTTCATGATGGTGCCCACTGGGCCTGGCATAACTGGCCAGACAGATAAGAGCAGCAGGGCGCTTTATCTGTTTTTTATTACTTGTTCTGTTCACCAGGAGATCGCCATGCTGGGCCTGTGTGTTTTCTAGCTGTGTGACCAGGAAGAGTCCCCCTTCCTGACAGAATAGTTTTGGAGGGGAGAATGGGGTTTAGAAAATGCAGTCTTCACTTGGATTGTGAAATGTGAAAATGAAACTGTCAGATGTTTTGGTTAAAAGAAAGAAAATATAAATGTCCTTGTGTTACTCTCCTGCTTAAGTCCCCTGGTGACCCTCTTTTATCTTCAGAGTCACTGGTGTCTGATTACTCGGACTCCCGGAAATCGGGCCCTTGCTCCCAATTCCACTTCACTTTCCTGTAACTGTGATAAAACACTGACCCAAACAGACTTGTGGGGAAAATGGTTTATTTCATCTTACAACGCGGGTCTCACTCATTACTGAGGGAAGTGAGAGCTGGGTCCTGGAATCAAGAACTAAAGGAGACATCATGGGGGATGCTGCTTACTGACTTGTTCTCAAGCCAATGTCCAGCTGCCTTTCTTATATAGCCCGGACCCACCTGACTCGCGATGGTACCTCCCATAGTAGGGTAGGCTTTCCTACAGCAATTAGCAATACTACTACTACTACTACTAATAATAATAATAATAATAATAATAATAATAATAGAGTTGCCCCACAGACATGCCCATCCAATCTGATGGAGGCAATTGCTCAGCTGACGTTTCCATTCCCCACGTGTGTGAAGTTGGCAACCGAAGGTGTGACCACCCCCCTTCTTTCTGGTGTGTCCTGTTTCAACTGTTCCTTGTGCTTTATTCTTCAGTAACAGATCACGGTGCTGCATCTGGCCTCTGTCTTTTGATATGCTTTTGTGACTTTGTGCAGGATAGGCTTAAGAAAGAAGTGGCTGAGCAAAGACACACGGTGTTAATGAAATAGTCCAACGCTTTCTAACTTTCTCCTGTAACGGATTCTAAGGATCCCATACAATCCCAGGAAATCCTTGAAATCCTTTCTCCACTCTCTGCCTAGTTTTTCCTGCTCCCATTAGACCAGATGTGGAGCTTAAGGATGTGAAACTCTTGGTCCTACAAGGTCGAGCTGCACAGAATCTTAAAGTGAAACCAGGTGAAGGCGAGCGAGCAGCACATTCAACATCAGTCCAGTTGTTCAGTGAGCTGGAGCGTAACAGGCGTCCAGTAGGACCTCTGCTGCCAAGGACATCTTTTTCCTGCTGTATTTTTCTATTCTTCAAAGATGTGTGATAGGGAAAAATTACAAGAAAGTTGAAACTCAGCTAACTAGACAGTGTATTGTTTGTTTGTTTTGTATTTTAATGCTGCTTCAAAATTGTCAATTTTCCTAGGAAGACACACTGTAGATTCCCATGAAGCAATCAGGCAGAGGCAAAGGTTTTCAAACTTCTTTCAGGTCTTCAGAAGTGCTGGGACTTGGTCTACCAAAAAACAAAACAAAACAAAAAAAACCATGCTGTTCCTCATGCTGGGACATGCTGGATGGAGTCTTACCCCTTAAGCTGTGGGAGGAAATAATCTTGTGAGGTATATTTATATAGTCAGCAGACTGAGGCTGGGTCCTGGAAAATGCACTTGTGCCTGACCAAGTAAACACTATCCAGTCTGCTTTGTGCGGCTTGTGCTGGTGCTGTTCGCCAAACCTTGCAGCCATGCACAGTCCGTTGGTCCAGGTACAGTAACTCAACACAATAGTGAAGTGTTGGGGTCAGTCCTGTGCATGCAGCATCCCTAGAGGTGTTCCACTCTTAGTGACTGCAGGGCCCGGAGGCACCTTTGCCTTCCTGAATACTTTGCATGCAAAGTAGTTCATGTTAATGTTAATGTACACTACTGGTTTTATTTTTTAATTAATTTATTTATTTTACATCCCAACACAGTTTCCCCTTCCTCCTTTCCTCCCAGTACTTCCCCTCCCCACCTCCCCTCTGGCCACCCCCACCCACTCCTCCTCTGTTTCTATTCAGAAAAGGACATGCCTCCCACGGATACTGACAAAACATGGCATTTCGAGTTGTAGCCAGACTAACCACTAAACAAGTATGAACTGGGTTGCCTTGCTCAGCCTTAACACAAGGCAAGGTGCTTAGTCTTACTACATTACTTGTTTTAAAACCTGGCATATTAGATGATGTTACGCTGTTGAGAACTATTAGTCTCTATGTACTCTCATTTGCCCATTTTTATGTGACCTAAAAAACAATCCAAACCCTGGACAGGAGAGAGAAGGACAAAGGAGACTTCATTGAAGATCTCAATGAACTTTGGTAGTTGTGTTGTGTCTGGTTTAATTTTCCCCTAGATAACTTTTGTTAGACTTTTACTCTGGCTTAAGGGACTCTGATAAGCATTTTATGTATATTAACTCATTTAACTCTCACGTCACATATTGAGAATCTGTCATTGGTGTTCCCACTGTGTACATGACAAAACTTTGCAATCTGCTAGTCAGTTGTTGATTTGTTTCTGCAGGGGATATATGTGACCTGATAGGATTCACCTGATTCTCAATGTCATGCATGGTTGTGGTGAAAAACATGGACTACACTTTATAGTGCATCCAAAATAATATCCCAGATGCGCACTGCCCATGTAGATGGGTCCAATTGACCCGGAGAGTGCATAGGTAATATTAAAAGGCATGTAGGCAGAATTGTTCAGGATTACCAACACCATGTCATCAGGTTTAACTTACAAAGCTGGGATTCAAATTCAAGAAAATCTGGGAAGAAAGAGAATTAGTGGAATAATTCATTCTTGCTGGCTCCCAGTGACCATCTCTGTTTCCTCTCCCCTAAAAAAAAAAAAAATCAATTAGGAGGGAAAAACCCTTACTTTAAAAATACAAGATCTAGCAATGAAAGTACTGTATAGGTCTGTATGGTCATTTCAGGGGCTGTTGTCAGAACGGTAACTTCCCACGTTAGGTATATCAAGTCCAACTCTCTGAGACCATCACGTGGAGGTGTGGATAGGGTAAAGGATGGAAGACGCGTACATTTATTTCATCAAAAGTCAAAATCTTTTGACACAGCCAATCAACTGAATGCCTGTTTTGAAAACAAAAACGACCAAGGGCCTATTTTTTGAAGGCGTTCTGTGGTTGTGGGCACTGTGAACAAATCCGCTCCTGCTGCACTCCCTGCTTTCCTCTTTTTAATGGTTATCCTTTTGAAATGACTGTTGTTGCATGCTCTCCTACTTTGCTCAAAGTCTGAGTGAAATCACTAGTGACTGACGCCAACTTAACAAGCTGAAAAGAAGAGGATGTAAGAAGGGACGTGATGAGTACAGTTGTCTAATCTTAACTCCCCAAGGTCTATACGGAACACAGTGTGCTTTAAAGCTCCTGCAGAGACATCAGAGTCAGAGAAGGGAGGAAGATGCTCATGTTTGCAGTAGGTGGGAAGTTCTCCTGCCTTTATGCTCAAGTTACCCCTGAGGACAATCACAGGATTTTAAAGCATGCTATACATGGTTCGGGGGCTCTGCCTTCACTAAGTCATTCTTTCAAGTTGTTTGAACCATGACCTTGAAGGAGTCGCTGTTTCTCAGACGCTATCAGAAGAGTCAGAAATATCAGCCAAAGCTGACATTTCCTAAGCATAACTAAAACCTACTTGTGTATGTGGAAATGAACTGATTTGGAAATAGGGAGTAAATTCAGAACTAAATAAATAATTAAGAAGAGAATAAAATATTACCAGCTTGGGATGCACCAAAAACTGCTAGAAAGTTATTTTTGGCACTGTATCTTTTCAAAGAAATACTGGCTAAACTTTAGCCTTTGGCTTGCTGTGGTGGTGTGTATATAACAATGACTTTCTTAATTTTGTCATTGACTTAATCTAGAACATTGGTTATTAAGCTCTTTTCTCTCAGAACAAAATAATCTAAGTTTTTTTCCTACTGATAAAATACAGAAATAGGTATCTTTAGGTTTTGAAAGAAAAAAAGTCCAATGATTTTCTTTTTTTTTTCCCAACACAATTCATTTTTCAATTCTATTTTTTAAAGTTAAGGCATTCCTAAGTATCTATGCTAGTTTAATTCAGCAGTCTCTGTTACAATCTCATGTCTCTCAGTAGCTGTAATTTGCTTATGAGCATTTAAAAAATCCAAAACCATCAAGACATCATACATCTGGACTCTCTGTGTATTTCCCATCTTTACATGGTGTGTCCTTTTTATATTACTACTCTTTCTTTAAAGATGATACTTTATTACTTTTTTCTTTTCTTTTTCTTTATTAAGAAATTTTCTACTCCTCATGCTATTCACAGACCCCCCTCCTCCCTCCTCCCCCAATGATTTTCTTAATTTATATATTCAAGAATGTTAATCATCAAAAAAATGAACAGTCACAAAATACTAGGGAAAAAAATCTTCAGGAGCAGCCAATATCAAGTAACAACTTGACTACTTTGAGATATGAAATTTTGGTGCGCTGTTATATGCCTGCATAAAATGTCACATTGGGTGATAAATAGTCCTATGACAGTGTCATTATTAGCAGCCTCCAGAATGTTGTCCCATGAAGATCAGCTCCTATAAGAACAATACCAATTCTAAAAGGTAGAGAACTGCTAATTTTAAAGATTTATTCTCTTCAATTACAAAGTCCCTCCATGTGTCTTTTTGTTGTATATACAACTAATTTTCCTATCATCCATGCATCTCTCTCTCTCTCTCTCTCTCTCTCTCTCTCTCTCTCTCTCTCTATCTATCTGTCTTGTATCTATGTAGCTTTATCTTTCTATCTTAGCAACTACACAGATATATTTAGCCATACATGATATTTATCATAGCAACAGTTATTATTTTTAAGAAATATAAAAACTCAAGCATAGGAGAATGTTTTGGTAAATTTTAGAAGATTCTTGTAGCAGTTCTTATAAAAGAGAATTATTTATTGAATAGGTGATCTTAGAGATGTAGCTGAGTATGAATAAGACAAAAAAATTATCCCAGATAAATGATCTCTCCGTATGATGTCCATGGGGCAAGAAAAGGGGGCTTAGAAAGAAGTCAGGTGCAGACATCAGGAGGAAAGTGAGCCTGAAAGGGTGGAGGGGAATTTAAATTTCTGATCTGTCTCTATGTGGCTTAAATGTGTGTGTGAATCAACTGTGTTCCTGAAACTTAGTTTCCAAGAGCTAAGTCATATGCCAAAAGGAAGCCACATGAAAAGAACTTACTTTTCCTTTACAATTTGGTGATAGAAAAAAAATGCTTTCATTGGACATGGCAGTTTGCACCTATCATCTCAACACTCAGGAGGCAGAGGCAAGAGTATCAGTATTCAAAGCCTGCTTTTGCTGCATAATGAGTTCAAGGTCAGCCTGGGCTACAAAAGATCCTGTCTCAGAAACAAACAAACAAACAAAAAACAAAAAAAGAAACCAAATGCCCTCAAGAAGAATTTGTCTGTATTCTTCCTCACTTTTAACAAAAATAATTCAAGATGTTTTATATTTAATTCTGGCCTTTCAGGAAACGAAGGCTGAAAATAGATGCTTATCCAGAAACACCAGAAGCAGTCTATGATATTAGCAGGTTCGTTCCCACCAGATACCACAGATCACATTTCCAGTGGCTGGGTTCATGTGATCAATCTTGGCTAATATGCTACTTCAGGCATTTTAAGAAAGAAATGAGTAATACCTAAATGAATGATCACATTATTTTCATTGCATTTGAAAGTCAAGTTTCAGAAATTTTTTTTTGTTAGTGACAGCCTACTTCTAACTAAATGTAACTTAATTTTAGACATCCTTACTCTATCATATGTAGCTAATACCTTTAAAAATAATCAGAGGGCTCTAAAATTTGCAGAAAAAAAAATATACAGCATTTCCATTTTTCTCCTGTACTAAGTTAGTTGTTTAGATGTAGTGAGCCATCCGAGTTAATTATACCCAAAGGAGGTACATAGACCTCAGAGATTTGACGGCAATGTATCTATTTATTGAAGTCCTCTGTGTGTGGAATAAAATAGTCCTTAAAGAATATTACATGGAAAGACCCCAGTATAAATGTATACAGGCACAGGAAACCACAGTCTACTTCAAAGGTAGTTTTAAAACTGTACATGCTCTAGAACAGTGGAAGTCAGACACACACGGAAGTCTTCCACATCAACTCCATACCTACTCACACAGTTCACACAGCTTCTTAGCTTATGGGTCTCCAACTTGACTCTTCGAGGATAAAAAGCAATTTGGGTCTTAGATAATGTGCTTTCTATTTTTAATGTCTCATGAAATGCATCTTCCTTTGTTTAGGAAATCAGTTGTAGTTCTTTCTCCTGCCTTGATGGAAGTCCCTACTCTCTGTCATTCCCCACACAAACAAAGGCACCATCTCTAGGTGTCTGAAGCAAGCCTTTTCTCAAATAGGAGCTTGAATGTGCTCTGGGAACACTAACATGATTTTTTAATTAACATTAATTCTGCTTCACTTCAACTATGAAAGAAATGGGGTTTCTTCAAACACCAATTAACAAAGCAAACCCCAATAAAGAGAAAACACTCTCTCCCCACCTCCAGCCCCCAACAGGAAATCCCCCCCTGCTGAGTTTTCCCCAAGGTCTCTCTATAAAGTTTTTCTGATGAACTTGCTAGGGCTTTAATGAATCAGTACAGATTTTCCATCATATAAACAGAAATATTTAATTTCATGAATGGGTTCATGCTTGACTCTGTTCACCTACCACATAACATCTTTAGGTTTTTCTTCTTTCTTATAACTCATTTCTCATAGTGATTTCTTTATAGTAATCCTTTCATATTCTCCAAACCTGAGAACTCATCTCAACATCAGAAATGAACAGAATTTTCCAGACTTAAGCTTTTGTTTCATTTCTGACTTAATTTTCCTGCTTGAAGCTAGGGAAAGCATTTACTGTCTTTGTGTTCATCTGAAGTAAATTTTCCTGTATGGGCCACTCCTAAGACCCCACAGGGACAGTCTCACTTTCAGACATGCCCAGGGGACGACGCAGCATGCCCAAAGATCCCGCTAGGACAATGCCTCTCACTTCACTTTCAAAAAGAACCTGAACTAGTGTTTGGTGTGCCACCCAATGACAGTTCAGTGGTCAAAGAAATCTGGGGAACTCTGAAACAGCAACGCCCTAAGAGACTCACAAAGCTTCTTCATGTGCTCAGAACTCAAAAAGTCCTGTCATCAACTAGAAACCTAAGTCACTGTGCTTGGCTCTATTCATTTTTCCAATTAATTTAATTATATTTTTCTCCATGGAACAAATCACTAGGAAAAACATAGAAAAATAATGAATTGTAAATACCAACTAGCTACACTAACAATATCAAGAGGTGAATGCTATTATTCTTGTCTTATACATTAAAATATTGAAGTGTAAATCATTCATTTATCTCCATCTATCTATCTATCTATCTATCTATCTATCTATCTATCAATCAATCATCTATCTTTCTATCATCTATTATCTATTTATCTATCCATCCACTTATCATCTATCTATCTATCTATCCATCCATCCATCTATTTTTCTATTTAATCTATCATCTATCTATCTATCTATCTATCTATCTGTCTGTCTGTCTGTCTGTCTGTCTGTCTGTCTATCTATCTATCTATCTTTTATAGATAGGAACTTATGGAGCTAGCATTCAAATCCAGATCTGCCTGACCTCAAGGCTTGCATTTTGTTTCCTGCTTGCTACATCTAATACACAATGCACAGCTAACTCAGAGTTGTGGCCAAATTCTACTTCTCCTACTCTGTTGGCAGACTGCTTAGATATAGTGGCAGTTTCTCGAAGGCAGACTTGTGTCTTGTGCTTGCCTGTGTGGCTGTTGTGCTCAGTACCATGCCTATTGCAATGCAGGTTATCTGTACTCTGACCAGAATGAATGTGGGGTAAAGGAGAAGAGAGGGCACTAAAACCCATCCAACTTCTTACAGGAGTTAACTTGAATCACATGACTTCCCAGGGACAGAAAACCAGACAGATGAAAAGGTTTAGCAATGACTTTGTGGGGGTTGGAAAGATGGGTCATCAGTTAAGAGCTCATACTGTTCTTGCAGAGGACAGGAGTTCGATTCCCAACACCCATGCCCAGTGGCTCTCAGCTGCCTGAAACTCCAGCTCCAGGGGATCCAACATCCACCTCTAGTCTCCCTGGCTTCCTGAATTCACTTGCTTGGTACACACACACACACACACACACACACACACACACACACACACACACCCCTCACATGCACCCACCATAAACACAATTGAAAACAAAATAAATCTTTAAAAGAACTATCTCACATGAGGGAAAACATTTTAACTTGATTTTAGCTTATCCTGAGTTGAGGGATTTTCTTAGGAGCAAAAGGGTGACAGGATGATGTCTTTCGTATTTGACAGATGCGACTTTGATGTGAAAATTGGATTATTTAAGTCTGAGTTAGAGGTGATTGTAACCTTCAGAGTTCCATTCAGACCTGAAACTCTATGAAGTTTGGGGCTGATCTGTGCAAGAAGGCTTCACAGACACTGGCAGTCCATTATCTTCCTCAAGGCTCAACTCTAGATTCGCATTGGATGTTCTTACAGCTAACAAATAATAGCCACTAACAACAATTTCCGAGTCATATAGAAAAAATCCCAGGGGCTGTTTGAAGACAAGTCAAAGCTTTATCATAGCATAATTTATTACTGAATAAAGTATTATATAATTTGGGGACATCTGTCTACATTGGGATCCACCCAATGACCTATATTTGTATGAAAACTTAGAAAGAAACCTTGTTAGAGTATGTGTTCCTCAAAACACTTAGAAAAGGGTGTGTCAAATGAGCACACTAGAGCTCAAGGAGAGGAAGATTTTATATTATTACCATCTGCATAGCTTTTGCAAAGCTTGGTGAACTAGTTGCAATATTTATGGGAACCTTGAGAACATACAGGGATGTGGGTAGATGTTGGATGTGGGTTGAAGAAGGCTCATCAAATTGAATGTGAGGGTAGGCATAGACAGATACATTCTGACCAAAATAAGACCATAAAATACAATCACTTCATGCTAAATAATATATATATATGTATATGTATATATATAATAAAATAACTGTATTTCAGTGCATTTATATCTGATGCTAATTATATCTTAGCCTAGAATTTCAGGAGAGTGGCACAAGTCTGAGCAGCTCTTCCTCTGTACAAGCTTGGCTGTGATTTTCTCTAAAGACCAATCTGGGCATGAGATAACAAAAAGTATCTTCATTGGCTAAGTCCCTGCAATCCTATGCGAACTCTACTCCACCATGTCAAAGCCTATAGAGCCTCATTATTCCCCCATTGCTCTTAGTGCAGTTTATAAGGACTAGCAGCCCTGTGTGAGTATTTCTGCTAGACAAATCATTAGAAGCTATTTTCATATAAAACCAATTTCATCTTGTAACTTTAAAAAGAAAAAAACAAAATAGAACATCCTTGAGACCTGTTCAAGGTCATTTATTCAGCTAAAAATGTTTTAAGAGCAGATGATATACCAAATTCCTGGAGACCCAGCAAGGTGTGAAATGTGCTGTTTTCTGAAAGAGCTAATGCATCCAGAGAGAAAGAAAACACTCAGGAATTACAAGAATACAAAACAGAAGGTGGTAGGCCCTCTAAGAAAAGAAGAGAGGGGCTGGCGGGATGACTCAGTGGTTAAGGGCACTGGCTGCTCTTCCAGAGGACCCAGGTTCAATTCCCAGCACCCACATGGCAGCTCACCTCCTGTTTCAGGGGATTCAACATCCTCACACAGACATACATTCAGTAAAACACCAATCTCCATAAAATAAAAATTAATAAATTATTAAAGAAGAAAAAGAGAAGAAGAGGCACAGTGGCTTCCAAAGATCAAGGAGTTCACTATCAACTATGTTTGTCAGCTCCAGGCTCGTCAGACTACTGTCGCTTCACCTTCCGTGACATTTGGCCCACTATGAGAAGCTTAACCAAAATGTGTAGGATAATCTCAAGTCTAGAAACATCCATAACTTAAAGATATTCTTGGAAACATGATGCTTCTGTTTTGGGGTGTGGATAAAAAACAAAACAATTTTGTATGAAACCTATTTAAAATATTAAGGAATATGTGAATGTCATGGAGTTTTGGAGAATTTCTGTTGTTCAATATGTGAATATTCCCCTGCTTTATTTGGTGATATGAAAAGGAATAATTTGTAAATTTAATCATGAAAAATATATGTTTTAAACTTCTAATAGTATATGCTAGCATACAGTAGGCAGGCAGCAGTATGAGAATTGACTGTTTTTATTCTTACATCTAAATTCTATATGGTTTTCTAAATAGGTTCATAGGAATAAACTAGAGATAAATGACTTTTAAATGGATAGCATGTATGCTGTTTAATTGCCAGGAAGTAATAAGCATTTTGAATTGAGTAAGATTGAAGGTTTTAAATTCTGTAGTTTAAACTTGCTACATATTTTAGATTTTAAAACAAATTTTTCTTTGAAGAATTCTACCATGATCAAAACTTCTAGAAGTGTGAGAAAGAATGACTCTGTCTTATCCTCTCGTCATCTTTTCATTCTTTTCTTTTCCTGTGACATAAAGTGACATACCCAAGTGCTGGTCCTTCATCAGATGTTTCTTTGAGCAGTGGAGCAGAAAGCTGTAATATCTATTCATTCGTAATGTGTCATTCTGAATGTATTAGGGACAATTGACTTCACATGTCATAGGTAATTAGAAGAGTCACCTTCAGTTCCAGGTTATTTAAATCCAGCACTATATACTTTTAATGAGCACACTTATTGATGTCTTTCAACATGTCTGAATATCTCTGTACCTTTTACTTTTATAGTGGGCAAAGTATTTCCATGGCCATTTGACTTAAAGAATTTATTGAAATTCATTTCCTCTTCTTTCATTTCTCTTTTTTTCTTTTTTAATTTATTCTTCTCTCATACAATACATTCCAACAGCAGCCTCCCCTCCTTCCACTCCTCCTAGCCCACCCCCATCTCCTCTCTCCTCCAGATCCACTCCTCCTCCATTTCCCTTCAGAAAAGAGCAGTCCTCCCAGTGATACCAACCGAACACAGCATCACAAATCAGTAAGACTAGGCACAAACCCTCATGTCAAGGTTGGATGAGGCCACCCAGTAGGAAGAAAACAATCTAAAGAGCAGGCAAAAGGATCAGATTGTGCAATTGAATGTTACCATGCTAATTGTCATAAATCAGATCATTTATTTCTGCTCCATGATTCTGTAATCCAGCATGTTCTGTCCATAGAAGTCATTTTCACAGGCTCACCTGAGAAAAATGAGAGAGAGTTAGCAGTTAGAGTGAAAGGTGGGAAGTTGGAATGTCTCTGACCTCAGGGACCAGGAGGCAAAAACTTGATTCTTAGAGTTCTGCCATTGAGAGAATTCCACTGAGCTCTCTAAAAGTGACTGACAGAGCCTTCCTTCAGATGATCTTGCTCAGCCATCACCCAGATGGTCAGGCTATGGAGATGTGTGGATTGAAACTTTCAGGCTGAGTCATGGGTACTTTTCAGACATGCTCAGACCTGACCCATTCTTTGGTGGAATATGCACATTTAGCACATATTTGTCTTCTGGGTAAGGTGTCATTAACACAGGATCAATTCCTAATACTTGTGGAACCTGTCTCCAAGAAGCATCTTTGTTTGATACCATGCATCAGTGAGGTTTGGAGTCTCGTTCACTGAGGCTCTAGCAGCACAGTACATGGCCTGGCACTCCTTGTTTCCCCAAAATACTATTTCCTTTGACTTCCATGACATCAAGCTGCTCTGTTCTTTCCTAAAGACACCACTCATATGTGATCAGATACAAGTGATACCCAAGAAAAGTTAGATAATACATCCATATTAGGATGAACTAAAGCAATGCTTTCTAAAAATATATAGTTATGCAAATATGATAAAGACTTATGTCCTCCCCTTACGTCCATAGTGAGAGTTCACGACCAATCAGCTCCTCCACACGATGGCTGAGGGGTCAGTGCTCCTTCTATTTCACAGATCCACCCTTGCCTTCTGTCTACCCAGAAGAGGAAGATCAAAAGGTGAGTAGACATAACAAAGACATTTCAGCTCATAATCCACTGTTCTGAACATAGTCACACCATCACACTTGACTTCAGAGGAGCCAGAAGAGTGTTCTCTAGACTTCATTCCAAGAAAAAAGATAGAAAATAGATTTTAAGAGACATCCAAAAGTTATACTTCACAATACATTAATATCATTTATGTACAAAGAAACAAATGCAACAAGATGAGTAAAGAACATGTGTATATATATATATATATATATATATATATATATATATATGTAGGTGTGTATATTTATTTGTGTACATATTGTATATATCTTTAAATGTACACAAATACACATCTACACACACACATATATATATATATATACATATATACATACATATATGTGATCTCACCACTAAAGAGATGTGCAACTTCAAATAACAATTTACACAATTGTTAATATTTGAAAATGTGCTAATACTAAGGGCTGATGAGTATTTTGGAAAACATCAATTTTATACATTTCTGATGGAAGTGCAAATCCTTAAAGAAAATAATCTGCCAATGTATACTACCATAAACTACTGAGCAGAAATCTAGCCTTTAGAAAATGGCTGATAATGGGTTCTCTGAGATATATCCCAGGATTCTGAAACATCATTCATTCAGCTGTCAGAGGGTCACAACTGCATCCCTCTTCCAGAATTTCCCTTTACACAGAAAACTGTTTTACCCCAAACATGCCCCATTCCTTGGTGGCAGCCCACCTGGAGACTAGGCAGCACTGAGGGTATAAAGCTTGGTTCCGTGACCTCAGAGGGCATATCTACTGAGGACCAGCACCTTGAATCAAAAGTACATGATTTTTCGAAGAGTCTGCAAGGATCATCATATATCAGAATTAAGGAATTCAGGAACAAAGTCGTTTCGTTTGGTGATCAGTAACTCACAGAAAACGAGCTGCAGGTTTCAGGAATTTTGGAGACTAGTTTCAGACGTGACCCAGAATGTTGGAAGGGCTCCTATTGATTGGTTTTATTAATTCATTTTTTTTTGAGGCAGGATCTCACTGTGGATTCCAGACTGGCTTTGAAGTTGTGATCCTTCTGCCTGAGAGTGCTGGGGTTCTAGGCTCACACCACCATTCCAGGCTGAGAAGGCTTCACTTAACTGTTTATCTTAAGATGTAAAATGGTCCTTATACAGCAATATATGTGTAGAAGACTTTGTCTAATGGCCACAGAACAATCACTGGTTTTCATTTTTTGGCAGTTTTTATCCAGTATTTAGGTACGACTGGTCACAGGCAACTTGTTTGTATTTTGCCCTAGGTGATTTGTACGCTTGTGTCTTTTTCACGCTCCTTGTGCAGTGTTCTGCATTCAGTCCATATAACAGTTTTCTAAAGTGGTCAAATGATTATTGATGCCCATTTTACAGATAAAGAAATAGTTGGCAGAACATTTTTTTTTTAAAGCATCTCTTCATTACAGGGCTGTAACTTGAAGAGAACTCTCTTATCTTTGAGAGTAGGTATGTCCTCTTTAGGCAATTTTTAAAATAAAAATCCACAGGAAAACTTGAAGTTGCTTTCTTTTGTAATATTTTTTCCCCATTTCTTCAAAGCTGGTATTTGTTCCAAGTACAGGCTTGCATCAGTATCACAGCATCTTAAGGACTCTTGTGTGCACTTACCTACACTGGGGACCAGGAAGAAGAGATGCTTTTGGAGCAGGGCTACATCTCTTTATGAAGTTTGTAATGGGTTGAGAACATTTTGGCTATAGTTACTCAATAAAACACAAAGTGGTTTTTTGCCACTAAAAGCAACTGGGAATCTGTAAGTGTAGAGAGAAGGAAAGAGAAAGATTGAGAGAGAAATGACTAAACACACCAGGCCTACTATCCCATTTCTGAAACTGGCAAGCTCTTGCCTATGAGTCTAAGGTCCATTTGCCCTGCCACCCGGTAGTGTTTCAAGCCTGCCTGAATGACTGTGCCAAGTCTGTAGGAGATTCGATGCCCCAGGGCTGTTCCCATCTGCCCCTCCCATGGAAGCCAAGCAAATTGCAATCTCCTATCTTTCCTCCTCCTGAACATGTATCTGACAATGATCTTTCATTGTAATTATTGCTGGGAAGTAACCAAGGTGTGGCTTTAGAACACCCAGTTCTCTCAGAATTGTAAAACTGCTCTAAGGAAGCCTTAATTTTGGCTCTAGCATTAAAGACAAGGAGTCTTGCTGCTTCAGAAAGGTCTTTGTTCTTCATGCAATTGGCAGCTCTTTCCTCCCATCGGTTTCCCAACCGTATCCAGCCTTGAGGAGGGCTTCTCCTCCCTCCTCGGTGGGTCTATAGTTGAGGCTCTAGAGTCCCGCCCACAACTACTCTGTGGACTGCTACATTTTTATTTAATGTATATACAATGTGTCACAGCATAGGTCTAACTTTTGATCCTTTGAGTTTCTGCCAGTGGAGACAAGCAAAAAAAAAGTTATTCAACTACTGTCTATTACTTTGAACCCTGGGCTCCCCACACCCAGTCCCAAGTGAACAAAGGACATCTCTTTATCACTGCGTCTGACTAAGGTGGCAGTCAATAGGTTTCCAGGATCCCATCCTTTCTGTTCTTCCTATCCCTCACCTTGGACCATAACTGGGCTAGCGCCATGTCTCCTTCCTGAAGCCACCTCACATGCATAAACACAGAGGCCCTGTAAGTGCTTCCCGGGAGAGGATGATGATAGCATCTACCCTTGTAGGCAGTGGACCTGTAACCTCGAAATCCCTAAGTAAGGGACCAATAGGATAGCTTAGTAGGTAAGAATACTTGCTGCTATTCTGCAGGACTCAAGTTCAGTTACAGCACCCACTTTCATTGCCTCTTCATCACCTAGAATTCCAGCTAAAAGGGACCCACATTACCCTTTTCTGGCCTCCAAGATCAGCCCACACATATATTGAAGATGCACAAATATAAACACAAAAAAATAAATCTTTTTTAAAATTTCGTGATTGAAAAGTACAAGATGGAGTTTCCTTTATAACAATGAGAGACTCTCATAAGGGACACGTGATATAAAACTATGTGACCCCTCCCACAGAGCGGAGGATGTGGTGAGTGGCAGCATAAGAAGGGTGCCTCTCTTTTCTTTTCTTTTCTTTTCTTTTCTTTTCTTTTCTTTTCTTTTCTTTTCTTTTCTTTTCTTTTCTTTTCTTTTTTTATCATAAGAAGCAAATTTAGCTTCCTATCCATCCCTCAGACTAACTTAGCAAATGAGGTCATCTGCATTCTGAAAAATCAAGAAATGACTGGATTTTACAGCCTGTGCCACAGATTCTCAACACCACATACCGTTTTAACAAAGGACAAGAGAGAAAAAGAAGAGTGATCATCAAACAGTCTGAAATTTTGTACAAATAGCAAGCAGATGAACATCGCAGGAGAATCCTCTGGGGTCCTGCTCTGAATGCTCCCAGAACTGGGCCTCCTTTTCCTTCTTCCCTGTGCCAGTGGAGAGCTCTGCTGACCCTGGGTCTTTCCAGTCAAAACACACCTGTCTTCAAAGAGCCATATGCTTGGAGGCAGAGTTCATCCCTCACTCTAGCTAGGGGAAAGTCTGCACTGTGCATCTCTTCAATTAAGTACACAAAGAGACGCAAAGCATCGGCAGGTAAGCATCCAGAAGCCTGTTCCGACAGTCGCTGCAAGCTGTTGCTGCAGCGGGCAGAGAGCAGAGCCTCCTTTTCAATCATTTTAACATATTTAAGTGTAAGATCCTGACGATTAGATGAGAAAAGGAGGAACACTAGCCCCAGAGGTTGTTATTTTACAGGGTTTTTTTTTTCTTTCTAGAATTGGCATAAAAACGTGTTTCCTACTAAGAGAGCATATGTTCAAATCAAAAATTGTGCCTTTTTAGAAAACTCTGATTTTTGGCAGAATATCCATTAATTCCGAGTGAAGGAATAACCAACCATTCTCGTCCTAGACTAAATGCTATAGGGCATTTTATTTAGAAAAGGGAACATTCTTCACATTTCCCAGGGAGTGAAAAAGAAAATAAAAAGCATTACAAATGCTGTGTGGTTTCTTTCTAAATTAGTCCTTTAAAAGTAAGTACAATGGACAAGCCTTCTCAGTGTGCTTTTTTTTTCCCTCTGAGGAACGAATGAAGATCTCTGTGGTTAGTGATATTTTTAATTCAGCTCTGGACTTTCTCCAGGAAATCACTAATAATTACTAATTGTATTTTTGTAAGTTGATGAAAGGACACATTCTTTTTGTGTGCTTCCCTCCCCTTGAGTAATCAATGATGTTGCTTCTTGACATGACTGAGCAAAGTGACAATACAGAGCATGGGTTAACTTAGAAGGCTTCTTTGTGTGGTCTTGCAAAAATCAAGTGTAAAGTCTAGTCATGCAACTGTCTTAAAAGAAACTATTTGTTCCTTCATTCCCTCCCCAATTCCTGCGGCTTTCATTTCTTAGAGCACTAGTCAAAAGAGGGCCATTGACTGAAGTTGTTCTAAATGCAGATTTCCATTGATGGTGTACACAAACAACCATATCTGCAAAAATATCTGTATGAATAGAGTTTCCTTAGGAACTCAGTGTATGCTGAATTTAATGTATGAACTCATTTAATTCAATGACAATGTCAGTAAAGCAACAGAAGTAGATTTTCTGATGCTATCAAGGCTCCCCTACTAACTCTGATAGTTCCTTCAAATAGGGAAGTTGGGTTTATTCAATACAATTTCCAGGTCTTTCTCAGAGTTGAATGGATGTTTGTGATTTGGAGGAAGAACCTCCTAGCAATAACAAAGAAGAAAGACTGGAGCATTGCTTCAGAGGGAGACCATTCCTCCTTCGGACTCTCTCAGTAACTAGGAGGGCATCATCACGGCAACCCTCAGCTAGACTCAGCTTACAAATGATGCATGTTACCAAGCAGCTTATAGTAAAGGCTGCTGCAGAAACTTGGATACAGTTAGAAATTACATTGGTTTAGGAAAATGGCAGTAGCAGGTTCTCCTCTAGAGTCTGTGACCTCTCCATATGTGGGTACTTGGCTAGGTTTGCAGTATCAGGCATGAATTCCTGACTATTTAGCTGGCCGTCAATCCAATTAGACAGCTGTTGGTTACCACCAACACAAAGGCCACTATCGCACCGTGGGAGAGTTCTTCTTGGGCTGATTGTCATTGCATTTTA